TTCCGAACGATTTCTTGACAGAAAAAAAGGATAATTAAGGAACTAAAACGAAAACCCAAGCGGGTACAAAATGGCAAGTACAATGACTGCCTGAGACTTGTACTTAGGCCCTGCCTAGAGTACTGTAAAATTAAACAATTTTAGTAATCAACTAATACCGTAACAAACAAATTGGCAGACATTTCTCCGACAATTTTCCTTCACAGAAAAAAGGATAAATCCGGAACGCATTAATTAAAATAAATTCCTAGATAAATCAAATAAAGTCGATAGAAAAATCGCCATGGTAAAAGCTGAAACTAAAACGGAAAAAAACCCAAGCGGGTTCAAAATGGTAAGTACAAAAGACTGCCTGAAACTTGTACGTAGGCCTTGCCTACAATACAGTAAAAATTCACAATATTTTAGTAGTAAACTAATACCGTAACAAACAAATATTGGCAGACATTTCTCCAACGATTTTCTTTCACAGAAAAAGGATAAATCCGGAACGCATTAATTAAAATACATTCCTAGATAAATCAAATAAAATCGATAGAAAAATTGGCATGGTAAAAGCTGAAACTAAAACGAAAAAACCCAAGCGGGTTCAAAATGGTAAGTACAAAAGACTGCCTGAAACTTGTACTTAGGCCTTGCCTAAAATACAGTAAAAATTCACAATATTTTAGTAGTAAACTAATACCGTAACAAACAAATATTGGCAGACATTTCTCCAACGATTTTCTTTCACAGAAAAAGGATAAATCCGGAACGCATTAATTAAAATACATTTCTAGATAAATCAAATAAAATCGATAGAAAAATCGCCATGGTAAAAGCTGAAACTAAAACGGAAAAAACCCAAGCGGGTACAAAATGGCAAGTACAAAAGACTGCCTGAATCTTGTGCTTAGGCCTTGCCTAAAATACTGTAAAAATTCACAATATTTTAGTAGTAAACTAATACCGTAATAAACAAATATTGGTAGATATTTCTCCAACGATTTTCCTTACAGAAAAAAGGATAAATCTGAAACGCATTAATTAAAATACATTTCTAGATAAATCAAATAAAATCGATGGAAAAATCGCCAGGGTAAAAGTTGAAACTAAAATGAAAAAAACTCAAACGGGTTTAAACTGGTAAGCACATTGAATGCCTGAAACACATACCTAGGTCATGCCTATAGTACTGTAAAAGTCAGAATTTTTTAAATAATGAATTTCACACATAAAGGTTGAAATTAAAATGAAAAAGGACAATGATTGGCAAGCCAATATCTGATAAGCAGAGTTAATTTTTTTTTTAAATAGATAATTAATTTACAAAAACTGAAAAATTTAAGCTTGTTACATGCACCATATCCAAATGATTTTGAACAAAGGAAAAAAGTGACAATCTTGTTCCATTTTCTAGAAAATCTATTTTCTCGCTGAAATTTACGCTCCCCTTATACTCCTATATAAATGTACATTCCCTTGTTTTTTTCAGATGAACTCCGTCGCATACAAATTTCCGACTACGATCTCCTTCACAGGGAGAAACAAAATAATTCCCGTGTTCCCAAAACACACAATAACCTAGTGATGGCAGTGCACCTCTCAATATTGCATTCACTCTGTCTGCTACATCATTGTACCCAAACTTAATCTTAAATCTTGGCAAAAATTTGCAAACAACTATTTTCGCAACGTTATAGCGGCGATGCATCACCGATACCAGTTTCAATTTCTGTGGCCAACAATGTAGGATCTGTACTGGGAAGATGTCGTTCTCCCCGATCATTAGAACAACTACCTCGGGACCTAAAGCAAATACACTCTCCATATCCTTAGATATAATATCACTAACCTTCCTTCCACCCACACCCCTGTACAGAACGGAATGCGTTTTTCCCAGACCAAGATTTGCAGAATATCTCATGTCATCACCATGTTTCCAGAATTCGCAAAAACGACGCACAATTGAATGACCAAGAATGACAACCGAAGTTTTGCACATTGAAGAAATATAACATAATTTTACTCACCAAATACTTGATAAGATAAATAACAAACTTGAAAAAACGTCCGTCCTCGAAGGCTGTAGGTGGGAGAAAAGGCAGACTGACGCACCGCGTGGCCGAAATGTTAAATGTTTGATTTTGATTGGTCAATCTCTGCCTCTTCAAAGACATGAAACAAAATGACCATTATAATACATCACTATACAATATATCAGACTTGAACATTCAAGGAGGACACTTATTGATTACAATAAAAAAAAATAAGTAAACTTATATATATATATATATATATATATATATATATATATATATATATATATATATATATATATATATATATATATATATATATATATATATATATATATATATATACAGTACCAACCAGACCCAACCTGACACCAAAGCAGTCCCAGAAAGCAGTCCCCGGGACTGCTTTGGGACTGCTGTGGGACTGCTCTGGGACCGCTGTGGGACTGCTCTGGGACCGCTATGGGACTGCTCTGGGACTGCTGTGGGACTGCTCTAGAAAGCAGACCCAGCAGTCCCAGCAGTCCCTGTGACTGCTTTCTGGGACTGCTTTGTTCACTCATGCGTGAAAAAGGTTCTGAGTGACATGATAGCTCCGCCCCTTGTGTATTCTGAATATGCAGCTCCTTGTTGTTGTTTTAATTTGTTTACTTTCTGCAGAGAGGTGTTTAAGATAAAAGCAAATATATATATATAAAAAAAAACAAGTATTGATGTCTTACAAAAATTAAATAAATAGAGATAGTTATACATGTAATGACAAAATGTCTTCAGAGGGCTGTAAATTTACACAATTGTAGTCTAGAATTCATTTTAAGAAGATAAAAGTAGTTATAAAGGTAAGTCAGAGGATGATTTTTATCCCTTAAATTAAACTTCGATACAGCTGTTTGAAAAAAAAAATTATCTAGGCCTATTTAATTAATTAATGCTGTCAAATTACGTATGTACTCAAAGTTTGCATTAGCACTATTTAAAAAAAAACAAAAAAACAAACAAACTTGTCATTTCAGTAAGATACATGTATTTAGAGGAACGTACTGTACTGGATTTTTTTTTCTTAATTGAAAAAGCTAATACCATGCTTAAAAAAGAGCACTCCATGCTATTTTTTACCACCCTCAAATAAAACCTAATAATTTATTTAATGACCATGAAATAAAATTATTCTACCATTCTTCTGTCACATAAACAACATGAACAATTATTCCGGGATTTATTTATGAATTAGTTTTTAATTTATAAACAAGTCATTGAAAGAGTACATTTATTTAAAAAAAAACATTTGAAAATATCGGGAATTGTGACTTGTTTCTTATTTCTTTTGTTTGTGTTTACCTGGCCGGTTAATACAATGGGATTGTATAAAATGGTGTCAACACCTTAGGTTTCAATCGCCTTTGGGCATAATTAGCAGAAAGTCAATGCATGTTATTTGGGTATCAGTGTTACACATCACTAAACACGCTGGTCAACATTGACACTAATTTCAATTGATGTCATGCAAAAAATCTTAGTTTCAATAATTGTGTATAAATTTATTTCGGGATTAATTAATTTTGAACATAATCTGAGGGTTCCATTTGCGTGATTTACAGATGTACACTTGAACATTTATATAATAAAACACTTAAAACTGAGAATCTAAAGATAATTAAATTGGGAAGTCATTGAAAATAATCATGACTGAAACACAATACTCGGCAATGTTTAACAAAGAATTTTTCAAAAGCTCCAATACTTTAGAAAAATGCATTCAGAGTATAGTATGGGAAACGGCCTTGCTCTATAATTATTATTATCTATTTCAAGCTAATTCTGGTATAAAATAAACAATTCAAGTTTAATTTTCTATATAAAAAAATAAAATAAATCTGAAAACCAATATAAATCACAAAAATGAAGAAGTTGGTTTATTTTGGTTAAAAATTAATATACCAAATAAATGTGTTTAAATATTCATGTTATTAATGGGTGTGAACGTCTTCTTCATTCAATAATTATAATTTGTTTCTATACGCGTACTGTGATTTTCTTAACAGTTCAGAAATGACTGTCGCGAGAATTGTAAATATTTGTTGATACTTCTCAGAAAGAATTGCTCATCAATTTCAACTGCCTTTTATATAGTTACATTGTTTATTGGTAATCTCATTCTGAGTAAGCTCCGCCCATTAAATTAATTAACCCCGCCCACTGGGACTGCTGGGACTGCTTTCTGGGACTGCTGGGACTGCTTTCTGGGACCGCTGGGACTGCTCTGGGACCGCTGTGGGACTGCCCTGGGACCGCTGTGGGACTGCTCTGGGACTGCTTTGTGTCAGGTTGGGTCTGGTTGGTACTGTATATACATGTATATGCTGCCGTTCATGAATATTCTACACCGTCTGAGAAAAGAATACAAAACTCTTTTGGAAAAGACTATCCATTTTATTCAACTTAGTTTTAAGTACTGTATCAAGTTTTAATAATAACATAATTTATGTCAATAAATTATTTATGTATGTTGCATTCCTTTTGGATTAGTTAGTTGGTTTATCACATTTTCTTATACCTGACTTATGTAATCTAGGAACGAGTTACTTTGTCTTACGCGCATGCGCATTCCGTATTATGTAAACAAAGAGAATTCCTAGTGCTTAAAATAGCGGGAGCAAAAAACAGCGAAATCCCAGATTTCGACAAGGATATCCCAATAAACGTAAGTCTCAACTTGTTCCATTCGTTACGTGGAATATTTCTATATTGATTTTAACCTAGTTTTCACGATTTTCTGCGAGAAATTGAGGACCGAGCTGCGACGACATGCCAGTTTAGTGTTTGAGAAACAATGTGTCCTACTCAGCTTAAAACCTAGTGATCAATTTATATTTTCACTTTATTGTGTATTAAGCATTAACCGTCGGACTCATAGTTACTTAATTCCTTGGTATTTGCTATTCAAATTGTGACAATGCAAGCGGAGTCTCTTTGTTTACAACGATGACGTCACTCGTCATAGGAGATTCTCATGTAAATAGACTACGGCTATATATAGGACCAGGCAGTTCCGCTGCCGATTCATACAGCATACGAGAATTAACTACTGTGAAATATTACGGCATTAGTGGTGGACTTGTGACCAATAATCATCACCTTAGGAAATTTTCCTCCATTGTGCAGCAGATCAATCCACACCATCTGATTGTGCTGTTAGGGGGTAATGACTTGGATTCACCCAGTCCAGTGGAACTTATTGTGACAAAGTTGGTTTCATTCTTAACACAACTGAAACATTTGTACCAGCTTAAAACTGTGACCATATTGAGTTACTTCCCGAGAGAACGTACAAGACTTGTGTCAGCAGAACTATATACCCGAAGAGTAAATCAGGCCAATGAAAATTTGAGAATTAATTGTTTTGAACACAAACTAACATACTGGAAATTACGCGGGTTTACCAATAGTCGAGACCCCATACTGAGGGATGGGGTCCACCTGAACAACCTGGGCAATTATAAACTTGTACGTCAGATCAGAGGGGTCTTTCTGCACCAACTGACTTCTACAGGACCTAACACTACACAATCTTGAAGGCAGGGGCTTCATTGCATTGTGCTTCTTTATTATAACAGGAAAAAGCATTGTGTGTTACATATCATCCTTATTTGATATCTTACTGTTTGTTGTTAAGAATCTTTTAAAGTTGTAGACATTCCATCTAAATGTAATAGGATTAAATAATGTGTAATGAGGAGGAAATTGGGTTCACTTTAAAATTTATTCATGCTTACAGGCAATTTGTTTTGTTCAGTTTTTGTCCTGAATTACATGTACATTGAATGACTTACTGTTTTTCAGCAGAAGAGAATCAGCAACACAGATTTTCTGCCTACTCTTTAGAACACATTTATTTTGGCTCTCACAGGTAACATCATTTCCATTTGCTTTGTTTAACCGCAGTGCTATAAGTATTGCACAGGATAATAAGTTACTCACACTTCAGCTTCAGTGCTATAATCATGAACATGTCTGTCAGTTTGGATGCTAGATTGTTTCGGGTCTAACTCTTATAGGGTATGTAAACTCTAGCATATTATTCATGTGTACTCCCTACAAGCCTAAGGATAATATTTAAAATGCACATCATCTGAAATGCCATATTTTGTATTTCTCCATTGTATTATGTATGCACAACAGCTTAAATGCTATAATCGTTGCTTTGCATACAAACTTCAATGTATGGAATCGTGCGCACAGCTTATTTTAATGCTATAGACCTTGCACATGAAACCCCATTTTTAACCATAATAAATGCATAGATGCTCAGCTTAAGTGCTATATGGAATAAGCATGACAATCCAGTCCCAGGTCGTAGATATAGAGCACTACAGCTTAAGTACTAAAATCAGGTACTTTATACAAGTTTCAAACTATTATCTCTAACAGCACACCAGCTTAAGTGCTATATGTGCATATAAGACACAGTGCTATAATTTAAATATATGCTATGCACGACAGCTTAAGAGCTATACTAGGTGCATCACATTTTGTGCTATAATCAGATCAATATGCACAACAGCCTTGAACACATCTGTCAGCTTGAGTGCTATATTCAGATTTAAGGGCACGGCAAATTGTATGCTATGTTTCATGTGCACAACTTGCAAGCTTAAGTGCTATACTCAAGTTAAAATCGCACAGCAACTGAAATGCTATATTCATGCATATCACTCAATTTTAGGCTTTAAAATTGTGATAGCAATGTATGTCTTGACATAACACTAGGTATAATATGTTAATCTAGCTAAAGCTACGTTGACAATACCATTGCTATAAAGAACATGGCATATGTTTCATTTAATTATACCCATATTTATATTTTAATCATTTTTTACAGTATCATGGCTTCCCAACCTAAAAGAAGAAAACGTTCTAAATCATCAACAGTAGGCCCATCCCCAACTACATTGCCCTCCCAGGACGTGGCACCTCAGCCGGTGTAAAGACGAATAATGACCCCCATAGAATAATGACCAGGGAGTCATATTTCAACGACAAAAAATGACCCCCAGCCGTAGAAAAAATTATTTTTTTGTAGAAAAAGAGACCTAGGGGTCATTATTTTATGTGTGCGTCCTATAAAATATTGACCCCCGTTGAAAAATGACCCCCTTTCCAACAGAGTGCATGATACAAAATTCATAACGGGTGATTGATGCCAAGGTTTAAACCTCAATGTTTGATATTCTTCTTTATGTCCTTTTTGACCAACGCTGGACGAACGCGCAATTAAAATGCAATAAAACCGCATTACGTTTACCTGCATATTTCTATCTTTTAAGCCTATTGTGTTCTCAGCACATATTGAAAATCGCAAAATGTCTACTATTGGTTATAACTGTTAACGTAATTTCCCTTTATGCCTGTCTTCCATTTGTTTCATATTTGGATATTTGACTAATTATAGACATTCATAGCTAAATAACAGACAAGCGGGATGTTCTGGTTTTTCATTGGTAAACATGTCTCCCAAAGTAATCAGAATGCTTTGAGTAGGATCAACTTTTAAAAAAAAAAATGAAGGAAAAAAAAGGAATGAGATACGTTTTCAGAAATAAATACGGAAAGTTATGCAATGTAGTATATATGTATATTTTGAATGACATAAAAAGTCGTGCAAATGAGGTAGAATGTATCGAAAATGACGTAATAACTCGTGCGAACGACATACTGTGGATATATATATATATATATATATATATATATATATATATATATATATATATATATATATATATATATATATATATATATATATATATATATATATATATATATATATATATATATTTCTTAATGACAAAATGATGAAGATAACGAACGTTGATGATTTAAAAATATCCACAAGCAGTGCAATTTTGTTTGGGGCATAAAAAAGGACCCCCGAAAATTGCAGAGGTGGAATCAGGTGCCTAGACAGAGTAAGCATCTCCTGTTGTCCCGTCACACCCGCCGTGAGCGCTATGAATAAATCAGGTATACGGGACATTCCGTTGTCGAATTTAGTATAAAAACAAGGGCCAAACAATTGACCCAATTATAGGTTATTTTTGTTGACAGGGTCATTGATACGACCATTGAATCTACGAAATGCTGACTTTAAACGAGGTTGTTGAAACCCCTGTAACATTAACTTACATGTATCTGTCAGTAGCCTGTCTCGATTTAAAAATTAATCGTGCTCTTGGGTATCGAATTAATTGGTAGACGTAAAAGTATGCAAATGATTGCAGAATATTACTTCATAAATAAGGAAAATTGACAATAGAAAAGGCTGAAGTCATCCCGTTTGTCAGACAATTTAGTTGTTAGTTGGTCTTTATCGTCTATAGTCAGTAGAACGTCCAAATATGAAGCAGACGTGACAAACATAAGAAAGACATAAAATTTCTGCATGTTTGAAATATATACAATCTTATAATGTGCATTCAATTTTATTTATAAACAGTGGTCTACTCTATGGGAATTTCTTTTCAAGTATATAGAAGTAATACAGGAGAATCCCAGTATAATGTACATTCAAGTCTGTTAACATGGTCGTCTGAGAATAGGATACATACATGTATGAGGAATATTTTTTAATCCACTTTAAAACAGTGATGCATTTGTCAAATCAATATGTAAACATTTTCAATACAGTGTATATTGAAGTAGATTAATGTTTTCAATTTATAATTAAAGACAGACTATTTTATTGACCTTCAAGGTGAATACATGTATAAGGATTTATTTTTCCTACATTGAACTAAAAATAGATTGAAAACAATTCTGAAGTGTTATTTCACCTGCATCTGAATTCTACTCAAGTGAACATAATATTCAAGCACAAAGAATCGGAGAAGAGAAGGGTATTGTTTCCCCTTTTCTGAATGTAAATTTTAGCAATTTCTAATTTGAAAATGTTCATTGAAAGTCTTCTACCCACCCCTCTTTCTTATACAGTATAGTTACAAATCTCTCCTACTTGAGTGAACAAGATGAACATAACATTCAGGCCCATAGAATCAGGGATGTGGTGTCCAACCCCTTCCATTTCCATGAACGTAATTTTTTTTTCGCTTGAAAATGGTCATTGCAGGTCTGGTGTCCTTCCCCCAACTTTGCGGTACAGTAGAGTAAAAGAAAATCCCACTTACATCAATAAACGTTTTGAGGGGTTAATCAAAGATATTTTAACTAAAAGTATTTTTTGCCTCTTTTAATGCACCATTTCCCCTTTCGATGCTATGCCTGAAATTTATTTTTCTGTCAGGACGATCAGTGATTTTCCACCATCGAAAAACAATGCTCTCCTCGCCCTTTGGACTCGATAAATCTTTAACTCCACTAGATTCTGAATCATTGAATTGACCTTAAAAACAGCAATGATATTATAATGTAATGAGATCAATATAACATCGATTTATTCCCAAAGAAGCTCAAGTGAACATTTTGGCCAACAGGTCTCTTGATTTATTATTTTTATTTTGCCCCCTAAAAGTTTCAACTTTAATCTGCTTTAATTCACAAGGGGTCATTATTCTACGGGAGTCATTTTTCTTCACGTGGGGTATGCGTGTTTTAAGGGTGATGACACTTTTTCTACGGGCAAAAGGGTCATTTTTCGACGTCGAATAATGACCGGGGGTCATTTTTCGCCGTTGAATAATGACCGGGGGTCATTATTCGACGTCGAAAAATGACCCCCGGTCATTATTCTATGGGGGTCAGTATTCGTCTTTACACCGGCAGCAACATCCACTCCACAAATGGAGGACATGATACAGACCTGTGTGTCACGCCTGATTCCAACTATTGAGGACACATTCAGACAGTATATGCGGGAGTATCATGAACAGTCTGGAATGACAAATCAACAACCTACGCCTTCCTTAATGCAAGAGATTATCACACCACCAACAGCAACAGGTATAAACCTTGATAATGTCTCCAACGATGTCTCTTTAGCACAGTCGCCTCATATTCCTTCAGTCCCCACTAATCTTACACTAGGGGTAGACGAAAAAGTAAGGTCTAAAATACATTCTGGGGAATTCGTGAAGCTTTCATCGCTGCTGCCAAAAGACTTCACAATAGAGAAAGACGACAAGTACAAATCAGTGGAGAGAGACGGCCAGCTGGTGTTCATTAAAGCTGAGGATAAGGACTCTGTCAAAACCATAACCAAGTGGATGGAAGCCTTTCACGTTTTCGTGGCGATCTACACAGAAAAATACCCTCAGGAAACCTCATCTTTAATGGCATATGCCCAGATCATCAAGAAACTTGCTGATTCCTGTGGAGAACAGGCAGCATTATCATATGATGAACGTTTTAGGAGATGGAGGCAAAAAGATCCAGCTGCCTGTCAGTGGCACATTAAGAATGTGGAACTCTTCCAGGATGCCATCCTCAAGGGCATGGACAGCAAGATTCAGACCAACAAACAGCAGCCCTTTCGGAAGAAGCACCGATACTGCTTCACTTTCAACAACCGGGGGTCCTGCAAAGATGGTAACTCATGTCCCCACCCACATGTCTGCCAATATTGTGCAGGAAAGCATTCCCGCAGACAATGCCAAAAATCTCGACGTTTTGGTCCAACCCAGCAGAATACCAAAGATGCCACAAAATCAACAGCAACCCACCAAACAAAACACTAACTCAAAAGTTGTCTCAACAATAAAAGTCTCTGAATTTTCCAAGTATTTGCAGGGATATAAAACCAATCTACAAACATTTCTAATTGATGGCTTCACCTTTGGATTTAGAATACCATTCACAGGCAACCGTACCTTTAGACTTTCAGGAAATTTGTCATCCATTCGTGGCAAAGAACACAAATTACATCAAAAAATCAACCAGGAAGTTCAAGCTGGGCGAGTAGGGGGCCCATATTTAACACCTCCCTTCCCAAACATCCAGGTGTCCCCGTTAGGGTTAGTTCCTAAAAAATCACCAGGGGAATTTCGTATGATTCATCATCTGTCCTACCCTGATGGGAACTCCATTAATTCTCATATACCTCAACAATTCTGCACTGTACAATATCAGTCTATCGATACAGCAATTGCAATGATAAAACAATTAGGAAGAGGGTGCCTGCTGGCAAAAACAGACATAGAAAATGCCTACAAACATGTCCCTATACACCCCAAAGATTTTGAGCTGTTAGGTTTTAAAGTACATGAAAAATTCTATTTCGACAAAACCCTCCCATTTGGTCTTAGCTATTCCTGCAACCTCTTCGAAAAATTTAGTTCCGCCCTTCAATGGATTTTGGAAAACAAATTCTTCGTCTCTCATTGTGTCCATATCCTCGATGATTTTCTCTTCATTGGTCCAGCAAGGTCTTCAAAGTGTTACAGCGCCCTTATGGCATTTTACACGCTCGCAAGAGATATTGGACTACCCATCAAAGCAGAAAAAACTGTATATCCCACTACAACCCTCACATTCTTAGGACTAGAGTTAGACACCATGAAGTTTGAAGTTAGGCTTCCCGAAGATAAACTAGCGCTGATGAAAGCCGAAATACTTAAATTTCAAGCAAAATCTTCGGCCTCCCTTAGAGAACTTCAATCATTAATTGGATTACTTAATTTCGCATGCAAGGTCGTCCCTCCAGGCCGCCCTTTCTTAAGACGCATTATAAACCTTACAATTGGTCTTAAGAAACCCCAACAACGTCGCAGGCTGAATGCAGATGCCATCGCTGATTTGAAAGCCTGGGCAGTTTTTCTCGAGCATTTCCATGGAAAAGCCTTTTTCCCTTCAGGGATTACCTACTCTTCATCTTCTCTCCACCTGTTTACTGATGCTAGCAACTTGGGTTTTGGTGGTACTTTTGGAAGGAAATGGTTTTTTGGGAAATTCGATTCAGAGTGGCTTCATTATCACATTTCAGTTCGCGAGTTCCTTCCTATTATCCTTGCTCTTGAGATTTGGAGTGTTACCTTCCAGAATTCTTCTGTTGTGCTTCACTGCGACAATTCAGCCGTGGTCCATGTCATTAACAAAACCTCCTCAAAAGATCATAACATGATGAAATTGATGAGGCGACTGATGATTTTAGCACTAAAATATAATATACACTTTTCAGCCCGTCATTTCCCAGGGGTTAATAATACAGCTGCTGACATGTTATCTCGATTGCAGGTGGACCAGTTCAAGATGCGCTTTCCTTTCATGGAGAAGGATCCAACTCCAGTACCTCAGGACTCCGTGCGCCTCTAAAACAAACCGAGGATTTTCTGTTACGCAGCTCATTGTCGCCAACAACTATCACAGCATACCGGTCAGCCTTTAACTCCTACAGCACTTTTGTGCATCAGTTCTTCCCAAATGAACAGTGTCTCCCACCTTCTATGCATCATCTGTCTGCCTTCCTGGCCCATTGCTACCTTAAAGGTTCCGCTGCAGCAACAACCCGGACATTAATCTCTTCACTCAGTTTCATATTTCAACTCGGTAGCTATAGGGATATTACTCAACATTTCATTTGTAAGAAAATGTTACAGGGTTTCCAAAAAGCCAAGCCTTCAGCAGATTCCAGACTTCCCATTACACCATCAATTTTGCAGCAAATAACCAATGCCTTACAGTACACTACCAAATCAGACTTTCTTAGAAAACTGCTCAGAGCGATGTTTGTCCTAGCTTTCTGTGCATTCTTGAGGATTGGGGAGATTACAAAGACATCAAGCTCAGTGCAACACTTCCTATTATTTACAAATGTTACACTGGGGTCGCTTCGCAACAGAAATTTTATCGACATTACCATCCCTCACTTTAAGCACTCTAAGTCTAGCAACACCACTTTGCGAATTTACGAAAATTCCGCCAGTTCACAGTTGTGTCCCTATCAATCCTTGTCAGATTATTTACAGCAAAGAAGGCACACGTCGGGGTCAGAGCCATTGTTCTCATTCATGGATGGGGCCCAAATTTCACGCAATTATTTTACACAACAACTAAAGAAAGTCCTGGCCTTCTGCAATTTAAACTTTCAACAATTCCATACGCATAGCTTCAGAATTGGAGCAGCAAGCACTGCAGCAGCATTAGGTTTTTCGGAACTTCAGATACAAACAATGGGAAGGTGGCATTCAGCAGCTTTTAAAAAATACATTCGGATTCCAACCCTCCAAATAAATTCAATGCATTAGTCAGGTACCCTTCAAGTCTAAATAATTAATTGATAGGGTGATGTACTTGTCTCCTTAATATCCGGTAGACCATAAGTCAAGGGCTTATGATCTGACAATTTATATTGACTATATGACAGGGGCATATAGTCTAAGTTGTGAATTAAACATAAGATGTCTAACTCAACCTTGACCATCAGACAGGGGCTGATGGCATGACCCCATATAGACTTACCAGAAAACATTAGTTTCCCATTCATACCTTTTATATGTATTATTAAAGCCCTTTTGGATTCATTTACTTTGTACCAGAACAACAGATATGACCATATGGTTTGATTCAAATAATCCTGCTCCCTTTTCTTTTTTGGTTGTGGGGGCGTTAACAAGCCATCCAACATGCTCTGCAATGGGTTGCCCATGGGTTTTCCCAGTATATGTTGTCTACCTTGTTAAGGGGGGATAGCGCCCCCATAGGGGTATTTTATTACTGGTACTAGTTGTGATATATCCATATAAATTTACTCATCTATGTCTAGTCTGCGTATGATATGCTAGTCACACAAGTTTGATGATGTACAGTATTCCATTTTTGCCTTTTGATGATGTACAGTTAACATTTTTTCCATAGAACTGTAGTTAACTGGTCTTTAGTATTTTTGACATTATATGTTATTTTGTATATATGTTTTTCTGGCTTTACAAAACTGTTTTTACATTTTCATGTACTCTATTTTGCAGTGTTATTTATCATTGTCTTTTACAGGGAATGCTATTTTATTTATGCGTTTTTCTCTGTCATTAATTTTCAGCCGCATGTTTTGCAATATTTATACATGGAAAATAAATGACATTCAACTCTCTGATGATCTTATTTTCTATGGTTGTGAGGCAGACATACATAAATACTTTTCTTTACTGCTTTTGAAATAAAAAAAAAAACAATAGCACTGTGGTTGGGTATACATTGCTGTGAAGGAATATCCTTGACCTGTCAGTCTAAAATTCTTTCACTGGGAGGAAATGACCTTGACCTGGTCATTCTTCCACTCACTGACATACAGATTATCATTCTCATCAATACACAAAGCACGAGGCATTTTCATGTTTTCATAAAATACAAAACAAATAAAGCGTCCATTCTGATCTATCATATGTATTTTTTCGTTCTTCATGTCAGCCACGATAATGTTGCACTCGGAATCAGCACATATGCCGTATGGATCAAAATGAGAATCCTTAGAAAGACCTAGGTATCGAAATCTGAGCACTCCTCTTTCATCTATCACCACAACTTCTCCTACATCAGAGACACAAATGTCTGTGTTGCCATTTTCTGTTATATAGGTTGGAAATGTAAATAAAGACCTATGCTTATCAAGTGCAAATTCGCCACGCATCGTACCTGTAGTCAATTCAAATTTTATAACTTTTCCGTGAGATTTGTCTTGCAGTTTGCCATTCCACATGCATATTAACAAATGTCCAGATTTACATTCCGTCATACCATGTGCAATGTAGTCAAGAAATGTATGAGAAGAAATGATTTCTCTAATGGTATTGATGGAATCTAGACTTATCATTTTTATTGATTTCTCAAAATTGTTACGGAACACAAAAGCTCTTTGGGTTTTCAAAAAGAAGGAATGCAGTCCACTGTAACATACAAATTCAATGTCTCCATTACGTAACAAATATGTTCCACTTCGACAGTCCTCAACTTCTACAGAGAGACATATTTTTGCGCCACCAGCATAGGACAAGTCATAAATGTATTTATTTGGACTGTTTATTTCCTTCACAATTTTGAATACACGTAGGGTCTTTGTTTCTTCAACTGCCTTTTCAAAAGAGAAATCAAGGTTACCATTAGTTATTCTACATTCCTGTCATATGAAAAAAGAGGCCCATTGGCCACAATGAACACCTGAGTTACATCTGAGTTACTTTAGCCCTGCTGTTCTTCAGAAGATTTCAAAAAGATTTTTTTATATAATATTCCCTTAAAAAATTGTGACCCCATATCATGGTCCCACCCTAACTTTCAGGATCTTTGAATCTATACACGATGAGAATATTGAAATACCAATATGGTTAACATAGCCTTGCAGTTATGGAGGAAAAATTCTTCTGTATACATGCATCCTGATTTCTGCTAATTCTAACCCGGGGTCCATAGTAAAAAAAATTTATAAATTCACACAACATTGGAATGTGAGCAAATCAATAGTTCTATTGTGTTTCTTGTGAAGATTCTTTTTAAAAAAAAAATTCTTATAAAGTTCCATACAAAACTTTGACCCCCTATTGTGGCCCCACCCTACACCCGGGAAAACGAGTTGGGCAGTTTAAAAACTACACTAATTCAGGAAGACTTTACAAATATTTCAGATTTTCTGGTCCAGTGATTCTCGATAAGAGTTTTTAGATTTTTCTTATATAATTTTATTTTGGTTGTAACGCGTCATTTAATTGGATAAAAAAGAGTTTATATCGTATAACCTGTGTTCTCTCAGTCACAAAGACTACGTCAAAACATATCAATACGCGTGACGTTAAATTTAAAATATGTACAATTTGAAAGCATTTTTGAAGAAGAAATTTTCTTATTTTCTATACTTAATGATGGAAAATTAAATTAGAAGGAATGAACTTAATAGCTACCCAAGTTATACTGGTATAACCTGGGTTGGAACAGTTTACATTTTTTTATAAGCCGCTTCGTCCCATCCCAGATTATACAGTACTGTATAACTTGGATAGCTATTAAATTCATTTCTTAAATAGTTCAATATAAACATTTGATATCTTATTGTGGCCTCACTGTTTACCTGGAGTCCATGATTTAAAAAAAAATGTGGAATCTGTCTTTTATTGTTGTCCCACTCTACCTTAAGGGTGCATAAACTTGAACAATTTACATTCCAGATTATATCTGGAAGCTTTCACTGAAGTCCAGTGGCTCTTGAGAAGATTTTTCGACTATATTTTAATGTAAACTTTGATCCCTTATATCGTATAAGCTGAATTTTTAGTGAGACGCAAATTTAGCCATTTGTCCATAAAATCACTATTTAATTTTAGTGAGAAGTAATTTTAGCGATTTTATGGTGCATAGCAAGATAACGGTAAGTTCGAATGCGGAATAAATTATTAGAAATATTTAATTTTAGTGATTTCAACACCCTTGCTGAAAATGTCAAAATTGAATCCTGGCTAAAATGTCTGCTTATACAGTATTTCGATGTGAAAATTTCATCCCCCTATAGTGGGATGAGTATAGTTTTTCAAACTACTCATGAAAAGTATGTAAAAAATACTTTTAAGATATAAAACATCAGCGTCTTCATAAATACCTAAGGCACATCTATTTCATTGCATGCATGCTCATCAAAATTCCATATTTTAGTTTCAATTTTTTTTATTTTGTAATTTCGCTTTTTTTATTTAATCATTTCGTATTTTATTTTGTATTTTTGCTTGTTATTCTTGTTTTTTTTTTAATTTAATTTCAATTTTTATTTTATTTTTTATTTTTGTTTTTTATTTAGTTTCATTTTTTTATTTGTAATTTTTTTTTAATTTAGTATTTTCTTTTTTTTTTTTTTTTTTTTTTAGTTTTGGTTTGTACTATTTGGCTTCCGTAATATTTAAGAGGTCCTGATTGTTTACGAATTACTCTCTCTCTCTCTCTCTCTCTATATATATATATATATAAAGCACTAAAAACCAACAACATTTACATCTCCGTCCACACGTAGAGAATTTGCCATCCTATCTCAAGGACACCACGGACTACATGAACAAGACGTCCTCTACTGGCCTTCCAGATCATACCCTTCTCGTGACTATGGACGTCACATCTTTGTACACCAATATTCCGCACGATGAGGGTATCGAAGCCTGTAGAGAAGCCTGGGATAGTAGATCCATACAAATTCCTTCTACCGAGTCCTTTGCCAAGCTCCTTGAACATGTTCTCAAGTATAACAACTTCATGTTTAATGGAGAACATTACCTGCAGGTTAATGGCACTGCTATGGGTACGAAAATGGCACCATCTTATGCCAATATTTTCATGGGCAGACTTGAACGTAACTTGCTACTTCAAGCACCATTTAGGCCCCTTAGCTGGTTGCGTTTCATTGACGATATAGAGATGAAGTGGGTGGAATGTCGCGAGAGCCTCGAGGCATTCATTTCGTTTGCCAACACCTTTCATCAGTCTATCAAATTTACAGTAGACGTATCTAATTCGAAAAACATATTCCTAGATACCACATCTATCCTGACTGATGGTGAAATCGAGTTCAGTCTCCACACGAAACCCACAGATTCCAATCTGTATCTTATGCCAACTAGCTGTCATCCCCCACACACATTTAAGGGTGTGCCTATGGGTCTTACCATCAGAATTCGGCGCATCTGTTCATCCCCTGCCTTATATCAGGAACAAAGCGGTCTCCTCAAGTCCCACTTATGCAAGAGAGGCTACAATGCCCGCACCGTACAAACTGCTATTGATGAGATGGCGGAACATGACAGGCAAAACCTATTACGCTACAAGGAAAAAGACAATAGCGGCAGGGTCCCTCTGGTGACCACATACCATCCCGTCCTTAAGAACCTCAGCGGTATCCTTCAAAAGAATCTGCCAATTCTCCACTCAAATAAACGAATGGCAGAGGTCTTTAAGGAGCCCCCATTGGCTGCATACAGACGCCCGAGGAACTTAAAGGACATGGTAGTAAGAACCAGATTGGACAATCCATTACCTAACGGGGGCTTTAAAACTTGCTCTGACAGAAGATGTCTTCTCTGTAAGCACAGCTCTGACACAGACAGCTTTAACAGCCCCGTTACAGGCCGCAGCTACAAAATACTAGGGAATTTGTCCTGTCAAACAGACAACTGCATTTATCTCATCAGTTGCAAAGTTTGCTCCAAACAGTATGTTGGTGAAACAGGAGATCTCTGCAGGAGAGTCAATAATCACCGTTCTACCATTAGGACCAAAAAACTCAATGAACCCGTTGGGGAACATTTCAAACTTGAAGGTCACAAATGGGAGGACATGACAGTAGTGGTTATTGACCATAATCCAAGATGGACAGACGCTCAGAGAAAAGGCAAGGAAAAGTTCTGGATGCACAGGCTGAAGTCATTCCGCCCTAATGGTATTAACAAACTTAATGACTTCACCAGGATGAACGTGAACTAGACCCAATCCCGGATTGTAACAAACAAGTTCATTCCTTCTATATAGTGTAAACTTTACCATTAATTCGCATTAGCAATTCTGGAACAACCTACCCAAATATTTACAGCTTATATTTTTGTTTATTTCCAAATTTATAATATATCCAAATTCATATTTTAAAACTGCCCTCCATATTATATTTAATTTCTTTTTATTATGTATAGTTACGCTATTTTGAGAGAATAAGACAATGTACGATTTACTGCTTGGTCGTAATTAATTAGCGATAATTAATTCGTTCAATTATGTAAATCGCACTTCACCAGAGTACACCCGATAGACCGGACGCAATTCATAGCGCTCCGGATTTCTTTGTTCACAACTGTTCATAAACTTCAAATTAAACATGTAATACTGTAAATATTTAGTGTTTGGTAGTTTAGTAGTAGTGCTAGTTGTTTTTGTTTCTCTATTTCCTTTGTTTTTATGACTTTTTAACTTTTTTCTTTGTCCTGAGGAAGGGACAGGTCGTCCCGAAAATTTGACAATTATTATTGTTCGTGTAGTTGGTCTTTTTTAGTGCTTTATATATATATATATATATATATATATATATATATATATATATATATATATATATATATATATATATATATATATATATATATATATATATATATATATATATATAAAACACATTTTTCCATTTCCATACACCATACCATTTTATTTTAAACGTCTATTACTTATAATAAGAATAATTCTTTTTTTCTTATCCACAAGAGACGTAAATGTTCCAGTTGCAGCTTTTTTAATAATATCAATTGTAAAAATCAAGAGAATTAAAGGTTCTTAAGTTACATAAGTGTGAAATCAATATCTTTGCAAATGATTCCAAATAAATGAGAAGACTTACCATCTGTGTTTCCATCTGACGATTTATATCATTACACAGGTAACCAGTACTTTGTTCTTCACAATCAAATATTACGCAGTTTGTGGATTGAGCGTTTACAGATAAAGATAAACGACACGTGCAGAGCTTACGGTATATCCTGTGTACCTGAATTAAAAAACATAATTCCATCGATGTCAAGCAAACACGTATCTGTTTCCTTCCGCATGTGCAAATACATTATTTGAGCTTTCTGAAAGATATAGAAAACATTTTGGTGGTGTCCTTTTGCGGACACATAGTTACAAAAATGGATTAAAACAACATAACACACACTTCATAAATTTAAGTGCATTCAAAATTTCTAGTATAGTATTCATTTTTTGTCATGGGATAAGTAGGTTTGTCATACACGAATAATAGGAATATATGTGACTACATGTATTTAGGGACAGAATGAATAAAAACTTGAGACTATGTCCCAGTTACGATTTTGGAACAGACAGACAAACAGTTAAACAACCATACCATATCCTAAATGTCTCCTCTAGTCGATAGTACTGAGATATCAGTGTTCCAGATAACCAAGTTTAACTGTATTTTATATATAAGAAGTATGACCAGAGCCTTAAAGTTGTGAGTTCTCTACAAATAGAGAAACCTTTTGTGAAGTATACAGCTGTCATTCTGTTTTGTTGTTTATAAGAAATCAAAAAGGAACTTAACCATCAAGGTATTGGTTTAGATTAAATTTATTTAAAAAATTATTGCGTAAAATAACAAGCTATTTTCTTAGGTAGCTTCCTAGTTATCAGTTAAATTTTTGTTTTGCTCAAGGCATTATGATACATGTGATTTCAATTTTAATATCAAAATGTATTATGCAAAAATAATGAAATATCCACCTTCTTGCACACATTATATTCTACACTTTTCTATCAAATGCTTAAGCAGGGTAATATAGGGTACTTTTGACCTTGTTATGGGTAGTTAATCTCTCCTTCATTATTTGTATAAACGTATTTTCCTTGCAAAGGTGTCTTTTTTAATAGAATGATGATACTGCCTGGTACGTATCATCGTTTTTGATGGGGGAGGGGGGGGGGGCAGTCAGAGAAAAAACATTTCAACTTACCTGTAAAAACTTGACAAGCAAAGTGAAAAAAAGGAATATTGTCCAAAATTCAAAATCACATTTCGTGGGAAGGGGGGGGCAACTTTTTCAGTACCAAATTTTATTAATACACTACTACATTACCCTTATTTGACTACACTGCAACAAAAAGGGGGGAACCGGCTTTTCAATGAATATTTTCAATAGTAAAAAGTTTGAAAAAAGGAGGCAGACCCTCCTCTGTCCCTCCCCCTCCGATGCTTGGTGCCTGACTGCTAGCATTGCTAGATCTATGGGTTATTTAGTGGTACATAACCCATATTGTTATAAGGCATGAACAAAACCACTAATACATGAGCAAACTCTAGAAAGTAGATAAGATGATCCACTTGATAGATTTTTCAGTCACTCTATGTCATGTTTTACGTTTGGAGTGTTTAAAAAGGACTTTGTACTATACAAGTTTACACGGATGTATGATAATTCGTCAGAAAAAAATATTTAAATATGTTTAAAAACTATGTACTAATCTGTCACATCGATAAATAAAATGTAAATATAATGAACAATATATTATACTTAAAAATCTAATTAAACAATACAAATTCCGAGCTGACCTTTTAACATAGACCTCTGAAAACATCAGACATATAGTACCAGATACCATCGTGTGATATTGGGGATGCGCTTTTTTATCGGTATACCGGTACTTTTTTATTTTTTATTGCGTGATACGTATCGTGATACGGAGACTAAAATACCGCTATTTTGTACATAACTATAAATTCCGGAAATTATTTATATATTTGTTCAAACTATTGAAAAGCAATTATAGGATGTGTAACAAATGTTGAAATCAGTTATAAACAAAGGCACCCAAACATGCTTATATTAAATAAATAAAAAATAAGAAGTAAAGTTATGTTTTTATAGCATATTTTTAAGAAATATTATGAAAATTCATTTGAAATTGTAGTAAAAATTGTGTGTAAAAATATCACGATTTATCCTGATATTTTGGGGAAAAAATCGTGATATATCACGATACGAAATTTTTGCCGATACTCATCCCTATTTGGTATTGACTTAAAAACGGACTCGTGTTCTTTTCCGATACCGGTATCTGTATGTCATATACATCGATACATTTTTTTGCAAATTACTGTCAAAAAGCTGCACCAATGTCAATTTGCTTGCCCTTCCTTTCTTCCTTAAAAAAACATGTATTTCTTCTGAGGCGAGTTGATAAGCCGTCATAGAAATTGTAAAGATGCAATTTTACAAAAAAAAAAAAAAGAATTCATTACATGAAGAAATCTTGAAGACATAAGCTTTAACTTGCAATGAAAACAATGGAAAATTAAAATAACAAACGAAATAGCGTCAGTTTCTTCCCATAGGCGCTTGGTTTCAGGATGGTGTATTTTGTGTATTACATGTATGTGTTTTTTCTAAAAACACATAATAGAAAAAAACACATAATCCACAATTCCTTAAAGAATTTATCAGGTACAAAAGTGTACTTAATTACCCAAGCGTGGTGATTTTTCACTCGTGACTATGTCATTTAGATTTCTTTTTTAAGTAGGAGGATGTCACACACAGGAAGTATTATTTTTTATGCTGATATATTTAAAAAAAATTGAATATATGTCTTCAAAATGAAGTGAACTTAATCATTTGAATATAGATAAAATTAAAATAAATTGCTGTTGTGATTACTTACAGAAGAATGATTCTGCTAACTGTTATTTTCAGTAGTGTTATTTACACTTGTGTCACTGACGCTTGTCCAGCTGTTTGCACCTGTACAGGAATTAACGTAGACTGTTCGTCTAAAGGACTGACCAGCGTACCAAATGGTATTCCAGCGGCAACCCGAAATCTGTGAGATATTTAAAAACTGACTACTAATATCTATCGAAACAATTTGTAATGTACATACTTTTCCCCCCAATTCTTTGCCGCATAATGTAGATTTTGATCCTGGTGATAACGCTATTTTAAATGAAATAATTTTTTTTAAACGGCATGCAGTATAATAGAAGTGATGGCCAATTTATTTTAGGCACTTTTATCCTATTCTAATGAGCTTTTCTTAAAGAGCAAAAGTTGGGTTTCCTTTCTCAAACCACTTGTATCTTATATAACTTATATATCTTATATGATCGAATGTTAATTATGAAGACAATTAATTTTAATTGTTTTATGAATCAAACATAATATATTCATCAATTACAAAATCATTACACTTTATTTCCGTAAAATTATCTGCTCGTAGTAAACAAGAAAAAAAAAATAGGACATCAATGATTTACAATGTATCACAAAATATAGGTTCTATCAATCAAGCGTTTTCTCCCAAATTTCCTGCCTGCTATGAAACGATCCTACATTGCTATTTTCTTGAAATAGCAGTACTAGTACATTCAAAGTTCATGAAGATCATAATATGATTACAAAAATACCCAGCACTTCGAAAGGAACATGATATAAAATAGCTATTTATTTTAGTGCTCTTCAGATGAATACAATATACTAGTAATGTATTCAACAGCTTCGACATGATGACATTTAAGTTGATTGTAATTGCAAAATATAAAATTGCCATATCCAGTTACAAGTAGATAATACTTATGTATTAGCCGTCATAGTATTTAACTTTGTGTTCATTTTAATGCACATAATTTAAACAATTTTCGTCTTTTTATGTAATTAGTTTTTTAGCTCACCTGAGCCGAAGGCTCAAGTGAGCTTTTCTGATCACATTTTGTCTGTAGTCCGTCTGTCCGTCTGTAAACTTTTCACATTTTCGACTTCTTCTCAAGAACCACTGGGCCAATTTCAACCAAACTTGCCACAAAGTATCCTTGGGGAAAGGGGATTCATATTTGTTCAAATGAAGGGCCAAGCCTTCTTCCAAGGGGAGATAATTAAAAATTCGTGAAAAATTAATGTCATCATTAAAAAATCTTCTTCTCAAGAACCACTGTGCTTGAAAATATGAAACTTATGTGGAAACATCCTCAGGTAGTGTAGATTCAAGTTTGTTCAACTCATGACCCCCGAGGGTCGGGTGGGGCCACAATGGGTGATCAAAGTTTTACATAGGAATATATAGGAAAAATCTTTAAAAATCTTCTTCTCAAGAACAGCAAAGCCATGATTGGTCATATTTATATGGAAGCATCCTCAGATAGTGTACATTCAAATTTGTTCAACTCATGACCCCCGCGGGTCGGGTGGGGCCACAATGGGCGATCAAAGTTTTACATAGGAATATATAGGAAAAATCTTTAAAAATCTTCTTCTCAAGAACAGCAAAGCCATGATTGGTCATATTTTTATGGTAGCATCCTCAGGTAGTGTAGATTCAAATGTGTTCAAATCATGACCCCCGGGGATTGGGTGGGGCCACAATGGGTGATCAAAGTTTTACATAGGAATACATAGGTTAAATCTTTAAAAATCTTCTACTCAAGAACAGCAAAGCCATGATTTGTCATATTTATATGGAAGCATCCTCAGGTAGTGTAGATTCAAATGTGTTCAAATCATGACCCCCGGGGATTGGGTGGGGCCACAATGGGTGATCAAAGTTTTACATAGGAATACATAGGTTAAATCTTTAAAAATCTTCTACTCAAGAACAGCAAAGCCATGATTGGTCATATTTATATGGAAGCATCCTCAGGTAGTGTAGATTCAAATGTGTTCAAATCATGACCCCCGGGGATTGGGTGGGGCCACAATGGGTGATCAAAGTTTTACATAGGAATACATAGGTTAAATCTTTAAAAATCTTCTACTCAAGAACAGCAAAGCCATGATTGGTCATATTTATATGGAAGCATCCTCAGGTAGTGTAGATTCAAATTTGTTCAACTCATGACCCCCGCGGGTCGGGTGGGGCCACAATGGG